AGCAGCAGTTGCTGCTCCTGCGGCCCGAGGAGGGGGGGCTGGTGGCGGGGCTGGAGTTGGAGGTGCTACAGCCGGCGGCGGCGGCGGCGTGTGTTGTTCCTCCGCCACCTCCTCCCAGCAGGGCTCCCTCTTCCGGGCTACAGCCGCCATGGGGGCCGCGGTGTGGGGGCTCGAGGGGGAGGGGGAGGAGGAGGAGATGCGGCCGCTGCTGGCCTTCGAGGAGGGGGAGGGGGAGGGTGACGTGGAGGCGGGCTGCGGGGGCCGGCGGTACGGCGGCCTGGGGTTGCCGGGGGGGGAGGGATGGGAAGAGGAGGAGGAGGCAGAGGAGGAGGAGGAGGAATATCACGATGTGGTGAGTGGGTGGGTGTATGTGTTGGGGGGGAGGGAGTGTTGGGGGGTAGGGGGGAGTGGCGGCAGGTGGGTGGGACGAGAATGTGTTTTCATCGGCGCGGGGTAGTGGCAGGGTCGTTTGAGGATGGTTTCGGAGCGCCCGCGGTAAAGGGAGATCGGTTTTAGGATAAGGGATGGAGGATGATCGGTTTCGGAGTGGGAAATGTGTGTATGTATGTGTGTGGGGGGGGGGGCTCGGAGCTCCAACCGGGGATGGGAGTCGGTATGTGCTTGGTTTGGTCTGCACAGTCAACACGGCACACACTTGTCTAATGTCGGCCTCTTTCCTTCGTTGCCGTGGTCGGTGTATTGCCCTGCGCTTTACTTGCACGAATCGACATGCGCCGCCCTACAGGTTTGTCCTTTTGTCTGTCTGTCTGTCTATATATGTGTGTATGTATGTATGTCCATTCCCCTGCCTCCGTTGGTCCTTGTGTCTCTCTCTGCATATGTGCATGTTTAAACTTGTATGTATGTGCTGTGCATGTCATGAAACCCTTATCTGCCTTCTCATGTACGTGTGTGTCTGTACGACTGCAGGTCTCCCGCAGTAGCAGTGAGAGCGGTTGTTGGGCTACAGCGGCCCCGGGTGCGGGTGCTGCTGCTACTGCCGCCCACACACCTCGCCCCCCCGGCGCCCACGCGGGGGAGACGAAGCGCGTGTGCGCCATTTGCCTGGAGAGCTACGTGGAGGGGGACAAGGTGCGTGTGTATGTGTATGTATGTATGTATATATGTATGTATGTATGTATAGATGTATGTATGTATGTATGTATGTATGTATGTATGTATGTATGTATGTATGTATGTATGTGTGTATGGTGGGGTGGGAGAGGCGGAGGAAAACGGGAGGAAGGACTGTTTAAGGGAGGGGGGAAACATATGCATGTGAAAAAGTGAGAGAAGTGAACTGCTGCCGCTAAGTGACCCAAGTGGCTCCGAAACTGTCCCCGACGAGGGGTGACAACCTGTACGGGAGGAGGGGGAGGGGGAGGGGACCACCTCCTGGTGGTGTGTGAGTGGAATACACTCCCTTAACCACTTTTTTCCGTCCTCAATTCCACTGCATCGCTTTGGCTCTATTTGCCGTACATTGTACGATGTTGTACGACATTGTACGACATATCCCTCTCCCTACATGTAAATGTATTTTATATTCAGGTTCGTGTACTGCCTTGCGCGCACCGGTTCCACATGGGGTGTGTGGATCAGTGGTTGGGCAGTCGCCGGTGCTGCCCCGTGTGCAAACACGACGCCTCTCAACGGCTTTCGCCGCCGCCAGCACCCTCATCACCAGCGCTGCGGGCTGCCGGCGGCGGCGGTGGCGGCGGTCGTGGTGGGGTCACCGGTGGTACGAATGGTTGGCAGCTGCTCTTTCAGGGCCTTGTGGACCTTCTGAGGCGCCCCAGGTGTGTGTGTGTGTGGTGGGGGGGAGAACATCATATGCGAGAAAGGGAGAGGGGGGAGAGAGGGGGGAAGAGGGGTTTGGGGAAAAGGGAGGGAGAGGGGGGGGTAGGGGATGGGGTGGTGAGGGGTTTTGGAAGTGGGGATTTGGGGGGGAGAAGGGAGAGGGGGGGAGCTGGACTTGGAGAGCGTGCCGGAGCGCGTGAGTGATGGAGGGGTAGTGTCGGATGGTGGTTTGGGGGTAGTGTGTTTCCGTGAAGAGGTGTGCTGGTGGCTGAAGGGGGTGGCTGGTGGCTGGACTCGTGAGTGGCTAGGGGGGGTTTGGGTGGTTTGGCGTGTGTGTGTGTAGGTGTAGGGGTGTGGCGTGTGTATGTAGGTGTGTATGTAGGTGTAAGTGTGTAAACCCGATGGGGGGGAATCCCGCTGCGCTTCAATGCGCACCACAGAGTTGCGCATGAGGGCTCTCGTGGGGCAGATTATTATTTGGGTTGGGGGTGGGGGAGGGTCATGTGTTGGGTCAGGGGCTTGTTTAGGGTTGTTGAAGGGGAGGGGGGATAGTGGGCCCGGATATGTGACTACTGACGTGTTACGTGACCTTACCTGACTGGGCAGGTTAACCTCCTTTCCCCTCACAACCATCAGTAGGTGTGTTTTGCGCTTTTGGACGTATTGGCTCTCAGTTATTGTCCCTTTTGCATCATCACCATGATCATCGCCAGCGTCGCCAGCATCATACTCCCCATTTTCCGCGACCCCCTTCCGCCTTTCTTATCGTTGCTTCTTAGCTTCTTGCGTGTATTTCCCCCCTCACCCCCGCCCCCCCCTCATTTCCCCCGGCCCCTCCACCCCCTCACCCAGGGTTTATCCCAACCAGCAACGGCCACGAGCTACAGCAGCAGCAGCAGGGAACAACAACAGCGCTAACGGCAACACTGGCCGCCGACAGCAGCAGCAGCGGCAACAGCGTTCGCAACGCAGTCCGGGTAGGCGGCAGCAGCAGCAGCAGCGGCTTTCGCGTGCTCGCCCGGCGGCGGCCGTGGGGGGGTTGGCACCGGAGCTGCAGGTAGGACGGATGGATGGATGGAGGTTGGCGGGGGGGGGGACGATCTGGGGACTTTGGAATGTACGTACCCCACGTACTACCCCCTACATTACTCCTGTGCTGGACCTCCTCTAGAGGTCACATTGCACCGGTCTGTATGTGTATGTGTATGTATGTGTGTGTGTGTGTGTGTGTGTGTGTGTGTGTGTGTGTGTGTCGGTGTCGGTCATTTTCCAACAAAAACGCCAACGGTCGTACCAGATCTGGAGGCTGTAGGTTGCACAGTCCCCCAAGCCACATCTCTCCTACACACTTTCCTCGGCAGCAGCTTCACTCGTTCGTGGTTCGTCTTTCCCCCTCTCCCCCCCCCCATACACACACGCACACACGCACCCCCCCTCCCTCCTTCACCCCCGAGGGGTCCCCCCGGCTAGGGGGTCTTCTTATCTCCACCCAAACCCCAAAACCCGCTATATATATACCGCATCACACATACACACATACACACACGCCCTGCTAACCGCTAACCGCCACCCGCAGGAGCCGCTCATGTCCGGCGCTACTGCCAACGCCATTGCAGCGGCGGCGGCTCTGGCCCCGGCGGGCGACGTGGAGGCGCCGGGGCCCTCACGGCCACTTGCCGACCACTTGGAAGGTCGTGACGGCGGCGGCGGGTCGTCGGCAGTCGCTGCCGCCGTCCCGATTGCCGTACCCGGCCGGTCTGTTCCCTTGGGAGCCGCTGCTCCTGCTCTCCCACGTGGAGTGGTGTCGGGAGCGGAAGGGGCGGCGGTGGCGGTGGCGGCGGAAGGGGCAGTAGCAGTAGCAGGGGAACAGCAGCAGCAGCGGCAAGGGGGCCCTGTGGGCGCTGGCGAGCTGGAGGCAGCGACGGAGGCAGCGGCGGGAGGTGCAGCTGGGGCTAATGCTGCTCGTGTGAGGGCGGCGGCGGCGGCGGCGGGGGGCCCCCCGGGGGTTCTTCGTTGGCCTGGTGCAGCGGCGGCGGGGGGAGTTACTCCCCAGTACCCGTCCACGCTGTGATCATGCGCGGCGGGGGGGGGGAGGGAATGAGAGGATGATTCGTGTGGGGGCCGAAATCTTGAGGGGGGGGGAGAATACGACGAAGCACAGGCGGTTGGCGAGGGGGGAGGCGGGGGGTGATTTGTGGTTTGTGGGGACTCTGAGGTCGGTGGTTTAAGGCTGGTGCTGGAGCTTAGGGTGGGCTGCTAGGGCCCCAACGTACCTCAGTGGGGGTTGGAGGGTGGGGGGATGGGGTGAACCAGAACCAAAACCACGAACGAGTGAACGGAGCCGGGGGGGAAATCCTGAAAGCTATACTTGTATGAAGCTGTTGGAACTGCTACCGGTGACCAGGAGGACCGGTAGCAGTTTCAACAGCTTCATACAAGTATAGGGTTTTAGGATGGGGGTAGGGCGGGGCCTGGATGTGCTTCACCTAGGGCATACTTCCTTCCACGATTGCACCCTGATCATCACAGCTCTTGCGAGGTGGCGAGGGGGCGCACCGCACCACAGGCGGCGGCCGTGTGCGAGTGGAAGTAGAGACACGGCCCGGTTTCTCCTCTTCACAAATACACATCACCCACCTTCCCCCTCAACGACTCGTGGTTTTGGGGAGGAGGGGTTGGTTGAGAGGGGGGGGGGTTGGGGCCTCAGAGAAAGAGCCTCAGAGTGACGTGTCAGGAAGGGTCCACTTTCCGGAGGTTTCTAGAAGGTACGGCAGCCGGAAATTGCAAGGGCCGGGGAGAAAATGGGGAACATGGGGAAGGGGGGGGAGTGTGTGGGGGAGGAGGGAGGCGTTACGGCATAATGCGGATGTATATATAGGGCTCCCGGGCTCCCGACTAAACGCAATATAGTATTCGGGAGCCCAAAATATATGTGTGTGTGTGTGAAGTGGGGGGAGGAAAGGTGACCGTGAATGGTGACTGATTGCGAAGTTGGCGTGTTGGTGAGCATTTGTGTGGGTGTGGGGGGTTGGTGGGCGGGTATGTGGGTGCGTGTGTGGCGGCGGTTGTGGTGGTCCTGCAGACGGTGTTGTTGGTAATGTGCTGCATGTCGTACATGTCGCCGTGCTGCCGTACTGTCGTAGTTTGGTGTGCTTTCTGTTGGTAGTGTTGTATACGAATATTGGAATCCTCCTGTACAAAAGCTGACTTGAGTGCGCGGCAGCAAGAGATTGTTCGTTGGTTAGTTAGTTGTACGAATGCAAAAGGTTGGATTTTAGGTTGGCAGGCATCTTCGGTTGGGAGCTAGAGAACGTATCCCCCCGCCGGCGGGAGGTCGCCTCGATGGCCTTGCGTCTTTGCGAGTATTGGAGAGAGTTGACGAAAACAACAGTCCAATTTGGGTATTTTTAAGAGTTTTTGTTTTTTGTCCAGAAAGGCCGCATGTTTGTCTGTGTAACATTAAAATATGGTTTAGTGTCGTTGGTAATATTGTTATGTAGTGTTTGCCTGGACTGACTTTGCTTAGTTAAGATAGAGAATAATATATGTGTATGGGTGCGTGGGGTGTGGATGTGGGGTGTGCGTGTATGTATGTGTGTGTGTGTGTATCAGTGGCAGGGAAGTCAGGGCCCGACAGCAACTAGGTACAGGCAGGCGCACATACATACAGATACACTTGCTGGTGTGTGTGTGCCAGCCGCTGTGTTGTTGCGGTCGCGCTTCATTCAGTCGCCGGGCCGCCCTCTCTCCACCTCCGCGCACCATATCACCACCACATCACCACCACATCACCACCGCCATCACCACCACAACCGTCGCCTGTTCTGTAACAACATTACCACCGAAATTGTTTGGAACGCAGTGCGCAAAACTGCCTGCCTGGCATAGGGTGTATGAATGGATGAATGGATGGATGGATGGATGCATATCCTCGAGTCGTTGCGTCCCCCCACGCTTCCCCCACCTTGCCTTGGCCGCCCTCCTAACCCCTCCCCCCCCGGGGCTGTGACGGCGCACCACATCACCACCACCACCATCGCCTGTTCTGTAACAACATTACCACCGGGAGGGGAAGGGGATTGTTTGGAACGCAGTGCGGAAAACTGCCTGCCTGCCTGCCTGGCATAGGGTGTATGAATGGATGGCTGGCTGGCTGGATGCATATCCTCGAGTCGTTGCGTCCCCCCACGCTCCCCCCACCTTGCCTTGGCCGCCCTCCTTCGCACTGTAGTAAGGGTATGTCGTTACAGGGTGGTATAGCTTCACCAGCGACCCCCTTTCCCAAGGCAGTTCCCTGCTCTCCCCTGCTAGAGGGGCACCCTAATCCATTCACCCCATCCGACTTCAGAATGTATTTGCTGGGTTCAGCAACTCACCACCAGCATCCAACCAAATCTAGCGGATTAACGGCGCCACAACTTAGTTCCTGGTCAGCTCGCAAGTTGATGTAATCACGTCCTTCACCGTTCACAAGATGGGGGGCCTCCTCCCATTTCACCACCACCCAAACACCCGAGTGGTCAGCAGGCGGATCTGAACCCGGACACTTCGGGAGCAGAAGTCAGGCCTTAACCTCTGCCAGCCGCCTGCCTAAGGGTACGTATGGGGGATATGCGGTTGGGGGGTGAGTTATGGTTTCGAGTACAAGTGCTCCGCGCGCCGGTGCCTGAACTTGTTCTTAATGCGGCCTTGTTCCCCTTACCACCGCTTTGTCCCAAATGCCATCCCTTGACCAGCAGCACAGCGGGGCTCTGCGGAACAGGGGGCGCCGGGCTTTCGTGTTCGTGTGCCACGGTCCCCCCCTTTTCCTTTCTTAGGGTTTCTTTTCTTTTGTGCGCTATCTGCAGCTAGTGCTGTACTTTTTCTTCTAATTCAAATTAAACATGTGTTGGAGGATGACCGACGCTTGTATAGAATATACCAGCAGTGAGATGTGAAAGCAGTAATCGGAGCCGAGGGGGCCCCGGCCTTTACTGATCCAAATATATAATATATTAAACATACGTACGCACGGACACACACACAGACACACGCATAGAGTGAGTGAGAAGATGCTAGAAAACCAAACCATATGTCGTGGTCTCTAAAACCCTAAAACTCTAAAAAAAGAACTAAAAGCCGTAAAACATCCCGATGAGCGTGTCCGTAAAATACCCTTCATGTTTTTACTGCTGCGTATGAAAAATCTTTTTCAATTCTGCACCTGGACCGAAGGCACGCAATCGCACCAACAACCCGTTCTCGGCGCGCTGTAGGCTGGTATGGGGGTAGGCTGGCGCTAGACATCTTTTAATGCACTGCAAAAGGTTATGCAGGAAATAATACGCCGCTTGCACTTTCAGGTATGATACACGATTAATCGATGAAAGAGGCGCTCAACCCACTCCCACAATCCAAAAGGTCAGGGCAAGATTGTTATGACGGCTAGGTTACCTTATCCTTCATGAAAGATCGCTCTGGAAGAAGTGATAAAGCGTAAAAGAACAGAAGAGGTCGGTCGAAGGGGAGGGGCTCTTTGTTAGTTTTGCTCGCGGTGTGGCCAGGGTGGAATGCGCTTGCAGCTCGCCTATATGCGGCTTTCTCTGGACAACAATACAGCCGATTCTGCACCCGATGTTGAACATACACCGATTTATGTTGGGGTCTCAAGGTCAAATATTACAGGCAGTTGGAATTTGTCTGGATCGGCGACAGTTGCCACTAACCGTCCAAGCCTTTGCCAACCTTGCAATTGTAGACTTTACAATTTTTGTCCACATGTGCTTTGTCCTGATGATATACCACCAAGCCGAAAAAATGTTTTGCAGAGAGACATTCATACTCTTTCTATTCGGTTTCGCATGCACTGCTGCTATCCGGACGCTCGGTCCTGGACAGCTGAAGCTTGACCTAGATGACGGGATGACTCCTGAGCTGCTGCAACCCTTGAATTATGTATCCGGAAGCCTGCCGGTTGTGTTGTGGCATGGCATGGGTAAGATGGAGCGCAGCAAGTACCAATTTCGCGACCGACACCTTATTGCCGGCACCTGATTTTCAGGAGATTCGTGCTGTTCACCGTTTAGTATCGGAGCAGTGGCCAAGCTGATTGAAGCCAAACTCGGTGGGGCCACTGAAAACGTGCTGTTGGCTCACGACACTTGCACGAAACGTTGTATCCTGCAAGGCAACTTGCCATAAGATGATGAACCTTTACGTATTCATCACCTGAAAATATAAATGGAAATTCAAAATAAGAACGGCAGATGCACGTTTTGCGCGCAGGTGTCTTCGTGCACAGCGTCAACACCGGAAGCACGGAGTTCAGCGATGTCCTCAGCGGCTTTTGGGGAGACGTCAACGACCAGGTCTGATCCTGTTCCGTTTCCTACGTTGGCGCTGTTGGCAGTCCGGCGGTATGGGGGAATTTTGCGCACCCCTTTCCCTCCTGGAGAGGCCATCTCCGTGACCGTGTTGCGATGTAGCAAGCTCTGTCTCCACCTTTTCCCCCCTACTCTATCCATGCACCATCCAGCTGTCTGATCCACCGGCTCCTACAACGCAGTGAGCTGTGCCTTTGCAAGTGACGCGCATGGCGTGTGTGACGTGACAACACATATTCTGACATGTGTGTGCGGTGCAGGTGGCATTAGTTTGTGCACAGCTCCGAAACCTCACTCAGCTCAAAGGCGGATATAACGCGGTGGGCTTCTCACAGGGCGGCCAGTTCCTTCGGGTGAGTCAGTTGTGACTCCCTGGGTCGATGAGTTGGTCGTTGGGGGTTGGTAGTTGAGGGTTAGTTGCGTGGTAGTTAGTTGGTTGGTAGTTCGGTTAGAGCGGGTGGCTGCCTGCTTGGCTGCTGGATATGATTGATATGATATATGTCGGGATGGCTGCGTGGGTTAGAGGCGGAGTGGTTGGTGGTTGGTGGTTGCATTACCTGCCCCTCCCTCCCTCTGTCCCGCTCATGCCCCCACTGTCCCCCTAACTCAGCTTCCCCTTAAACCCCGCCCGGCCAACCCCCACTCCCCCCGCCTCCCTCCTCCCTTCCACCGCATACACACATATACACATATACACACACGCACACACGCACTCAGGCTGTTGCTGAGCGGTGTCAGCACACGGGGGGCCCCCTCATGAGGACGTTGGTGACAATGGGAGCGCAGCACCAAGGGGTGATGAACGTGCCGGGATGCAGGTATGTCTGTATGTGTTTGTTGGTTGAGGGGGAAAAGGGAAATGGGACATCGAAAGAAGAAGAGCCTTGAAAGGGAATTAGAGCGTGGTCGCGTGTTGCATGTATGTATGTATATGTATGTATGTATGCATGAATGCATGCTGAAAGGTTGATTAAGCCTTGGGTAGGAAGTATTTCGCATACATAAAGTAGTTGAGTGGTACAAATGCCACCATGGGCAGGCCAAGACAAGGCGAGGGAGCTGTGAAGAGTTTTTCGCTGGCTGCCCCCACACTGGCTGCTTACTTAATCACCGGCTCATCAACGCTCTTCACCGTGTCTACGTGTGTTTTATATTACCTCTCCCCCCCAGTCATGTGACGCCATGTCCGCCCTCTCCTTCCCTTCCCCTTCCCCCCCTCCCCCTCCCCCGCTCCCGACCGTGGCGGCCCCGGGTATGTACGGACTACCGTTGGTCGTTGATGTTGGTTGTTGACCGGTGGGCGGCAGGACACTGCCGCTCAATTCTAGCCACGGCGCTTGCTACCTGATGCAGAAGATGCTGGGCGAAGGCGCATACCTGCCGTACATTCGTGATCATGTCGTACAGGCGCAGTACTTTAAGGACCCGCTGCGGCTTTCTGAGTATCTCGTCGCGAACCCCTTCTTGCCGGATATCAACAACGAACGAGGACCAGAGGGACGAAACCCACTGTACGGCAACAACCTTGCATCGTTGGAACGCCTGGTGCTATACCGCTTTTCTGACGATGACACCGGTACGATTTCGCTCATCATGTTGTACAGTATGTACCGCTGGATTTTGCATGGAGCCGGTAAATATATACCGGCCAGTAGATATGTACATCTTGTATGTTAAAATGTCCCCCCTCCCCCACTGTCCTCTCTCCCCCACTCAACCCTCAACCCTCAACCCCAAACCCCCCTCCCCCTCTTCCCCCCCCTCCCCCACTTCCCCCCACCCCCCCCACCCACCCCGCGCGGCCTCAGTGGTTCCTCGGGACAGTGCTTGGTTCTCGTTCTTCGACGGTCAGAGGCTCGTACCATTGTACGACCAACCGCTGTACAAGGAGGATTGGATTGGGCTACGGTCTTTGGACGAGCGCGGACAGCTGGTGCTCGAGGAAGCCCCTGGCGCGCATATGCAGTTCACGTTACAGTGGTTTGCCGACAACGTAATCCGGAAGTATCTATATCCCAATCCGGAAGTATCTGAATCCCAATGAATTCAAATTTGAATTTGGATTTGAATTCGAATTATTCTTGATTCACTAACCACCCATCATGGTTTGGTGCCGGTGGCTGTGCAACAATAACCCTCTATCGTCTTGACCGGTGCTGCTGGTGGGCCCTCTACTGGCGAGATCGCTAGGAGCCGCAAAAGGTGGTGCCGGGTTGTGTGTCTAGTGCGTCAAGTGACCATGTTGGCGGCTGGCGGTACTACCACATGTGTGAGCATTTGTGAGCATTTGTGCAAAGGTCCTCTTCTGTAAAGTGCTTTCATGTGTTCGGTCGACCTCCGCGCTCTTGTACAGGGGGTTAGGGTGGGAATCCCGGTGCACCAGGTGGATCAGATCCACCACGGATCACAGACCTCTCCGTCACGAGCGCCACGGACGCATGATAGCGCTTGCATTGACAATTCACAAAAGCTAGCTAGAGCAGTGAAACATCAATGCTTGATCCTTGTGGGGCTCGAACCCACAATGGCAATAGCCCCCAGGGGCAGGGTCAAAAATATACCACCCTACCCTATCCATGCCCAGCAAGCAAATCATCCGCCATCACCAGTGCCAGAAGACCAGAACTGCCACCACCGCCGCGGAGGATTCCCGTTTGCAGGATGTTTACCGTACACACATGCCGGCAATGCTCTCAGCTCTCAAGGGCACTCACCTCCGATAGAACAGCAGCAGCAGCTGTAGCAGCTGTAGCAGCAGCACGAGGACCGCCGCGGTGTCGCCTTACGTTGCAGCCACCCAGGTTCATGCGGGCAAATGGCGAGAAGCAAACAGGAAGGCCGCGTGTGTGTGTTTTTGTCAAGTACCGCGTAAAGCCGTGCAACTATGCGACTATCGACGGTACGACACAGTAGAGCAGACGTGCGCAGTACATCAAGCATCTGATTGAGGACCCAGAAATGGACAGGACACCGAAACGCCGTACACTTACGCGAGGTATGTCCTATGTCCTCTGATGGCCGCCGCGTCCCGACGGCAACACACCTCATCAAGCCAGGGCCAAGTGAGGCGCACCCAGGGGAAGCAAGGGGGCAGGAAGTTGGTTACGAGTTGCGAACCGGAAACACCAATGCAGTACAAATATGACACACGCATGCGGACGTGAGCACAGACCACCATAGCAGAGCATTATCTCTAGCTTGGCAGGCGGCCGGCAGCTCTGACCTGTGGATTCGCTGCACGCTATAGTATACCTTTCCTAAAGTTTGTGCTGCGCTGCTGTTGCTGCCGCCGCCAGCCGCCTGCCAACCATGAATGCTGGCTGCTCGCACACCCGTACGATCGCCCCAAGCCCTTCCCAAGCCAAATTAACCCCCCCACACACACCCACGAACAACATTCCGCCGTAAATATATTCTTTTCCAATCCCCAACTTGCTTCCGGCATTGTCAAGCTCGTGCCCATGCCCAGCTGCGTGTCCCTCGTGCGTCCTAGGGGGGCAGCCCGCCCCACGTGGGCCCAAGCGTCGCTGAGCGGTACGACATGCACATCATATCGTGGGGAAAGGGAGGGGGCCAGGAAGGGGGGACACACAAGCGGGTCAGTTGGATGGATGGCCACGCATTATGGAGCATAGCGCGCATGTCTGTAGTACAGCTGCCAGCAAAAACAGTTTATGTGTCACGCCACTCATGCACCTTGTTCTTCATTCGTAGATTCATGAAAATGTCCGGGACCTGCGTTGCAGACAGACCTGCGTTGCAGTTTTCCAAAATGGACAATCATCAGCAAGTCCATTTTGGAAAACTGCAACGAGATTGTAAAATTATCAGTGCCAACATGGTTCTTTGGAAACTGGCTGCTCGGTTGCCCTGCCCTGCTGCCACACTAGCCAAGTCTGACATGGTTTGGAAACTTCCCTTGCTGTCGTACACCTCTAACGTGACGGCAGGCATTCCTTCTCGGTTATGTTTTAAAGGAATTTGACCGACCGAACGAATTATCACGTGAAATATTATAAATATCATAAACCTCCGTGCCAGTCCCAAACCTGGCCATGCCGTGAGATCCCGTTAAACCACACCCGCACTGGGGCTCGACGTGCCTGTATACCTGCGTAAATGAAGCCATGCAGAAATGACGTTTTCGTTGCTTATGTTATGGCATGGATGCCACTCGAGATGTGCATGTGCAAGTGCACCCAGGATGGATGTTTTTAAAGCTGGGGATTATTGAATTTGTTTTCCTGTTTTATTTCTATGCTTTACCAAAGTGTGCAGATTAGGTAATGTGCGGTTATCTCAGGTTCGTCCCCGCAGGTACGACATGGGAAGCTTCGCACAGGACAGAATGCGTGAGATCAGGTGCTTTTGGGGCGTGTTTTTGGCTAGCGTGCTTCATTGTATGTACCGATATTTTACACCTTTAAGGAAACGAGCGGCAGTCGTCTAGATACGTTCTCTAGGAGGATCCGCCTGTCTGACAGTCGCTTCCCAAAAGAAATTCTGCGGCCGGCGCCTACAGCTTCCAATGCTGATTTAACTCTACATTTTACTCTTGTAACACAGTTCTGGACGCAATGTCAAGTGCTGGAAGACATTATGGACCGGTTCCTTTTGGTTTGAAGGTGCTCTGAAACGACCAACAACTAGCATATGTTCCTGCGCTTAAGTTAGCTAGTTCAGCTGGGACAGAAGTCTATTGTATGTCGGCAAGTTGTTGCCTGAGATTTCAGTCGCCCAGCAAGGCAGTCATAGTTTATGTGTTAGGAATGGAACGCTTCAGCAGTAAGACCTTACTGCTGCTTACCATTTCGGCTTTGGCGCTCTTCATCATTCCAGCGGCAGCCGTGCGTGGCAGCCCCGAGAAGGGGTCCCGTGTGTTCCTGCAAAAGCAGCTGCCGCTGACCCTGATCGTGACAACGCCGTCGGAACTTTCTGATAGCACAGCTTCGACGTTTGTATCTGGTCGTCAAGCCCTTACGGTATGTGCAGTCGTTTCGAAGGGTCTCGTGTGTAGCATGGGGAACATGGCAGCATGCCTGGCATCGACTCGAGCTACAGAAGGATGAGTGTATTCTCACGTTACTCCGTTTTGCTTATCGGACCTCCGAGCTTCTCCTTCCAAGGCATCGGCCCTAGGGACTTCCCCTGACTCGTCGTTAGCAAGATTAAGAGTCCATCTAACCGCGGTTCGCTATCTCCGTATGCCATCAATCTCGTAGCCCTTAATAGCTGCACGTGTATTTCTTTCTGGGTAGCAAGGAACGAAATTTGAATTTGAGCTGTCGCGCACATTCTCCTCACTCACGCCCATGACTTAAATGTTCCATATGCTTCAGACCCAAATCGCCAAATTCAAAACCCAAAAAACCCAAATCACGCAAAGGCCATGAAGCTTAGTGCGTTTGCCGGCCCCACCACAGGCCGTATTTTCCCGGCCGGTCATAGCGCTGGGATCCGACTTCGGGCAACCGACCAGCCAAATGAAGGTAACGTTGGAGGATGAGGTCCTTGACGGGAACACGTGAGGGCGAATTGTGTGTGTATATGTATGTATGAATGTATGTATGTATGTATGAATAAATGAATGCATGTATGTATGTATGCATGTATGACTTAGATTACACTGTGGGCTGCGAGAGCCGGGGGCCGAAGCCGAAACACAGTATGTGTGTATGTATGTATGGATGGAGGGGGACAAATGGGGAAAATGAAGACACGGGCGCTTTCGGAACGAGAGCGGAGAAAAAAGTAGAGGCTCGCGCGAATATATAGGAGGGGAGAAGAAAGTGAAAGTGGAAGTGAAGCTCGCGCATACGACTTGTACGACATTTGCCTCTGAGGTTTAATGACGAGGCCAGCTTACCTGGGATTCGGGCATTATACAAGATGTACGGCAGCTTGCCGTGCCGCGGCAGTTGAAACCGGTCCGTCAGGCCGTCGTGGAGGAGTAGTACTCCACAGGCCTACGCCTAAAATTACAGTTTTTTGATGATCGTGATGATTAACGACTCCCGCGTCATTCGCAATCGGATGGGAAGTTTCAAGATGAGGATATCATGCTAGGGGGGAAGCGGCGGCGTCCTATTGTACTTTCCGTGGTACTTTGTAGTGCCGTACGGTTCTGATTTGGGTCCCGTAC